AGTATTGGCGCGAAAAATATATAGAGTAGAGTCACGTGTCAATTAAGTATTAATTAAGGGTCTTAACTGTAATTAAGGTTTACAGTAATTGGTGTTTAGTTACACTGAATTAATTATCCTGACATTATTAATCTCTTGCTCTCATTCAATGAATGTTTTGAATTTGAATATAAATTTGAATATGAATTACAAAATATTTTTTTACTTTTGAAAATCCTTTTATAAAATATTTGATTATTATTCTGTATTATTGAGACATCAAAGCAATTTGAAAGCAATGAACAAATAAATAATTATTACTTAACAAACAACACAAGGAAACCACACAAACAGATTCGCTTTCACATTATAAAACTTAAACTTCATTCAAAATTATGTATCTCTTCACTGTATGTGAAAATGCCGTCAAAATTGTCATCAAATAAGTTATTCAAAACAATTACACCAATTGTTTACAATATATCATAAATACAATAGTTTGACCATTTTTTGACAAATTATTTTTAACGAGACTCCAATCAGATAATAGACAATCTTTGTAATTAATACAATAAATTAAATAATATTTATATATTCCTTGTACTGACAAGTGAGAACTTGTAAGATTATGTAAATAATATGGGTTTAAATGTCAAAATATAAAATTATTAATTAATTTATATATGAAAATTAAATTAAGTTTTAAGTTAACTTCTGTCCACTCATAAGAATACACATTTATAATGATCTCTCTCTCTCTCTCTCTCTCTCTCTCCCTATTTCTCCATATATTTTACTGAAATATCTACAAAATAATAATTATTAGTAATGTTTACTATTGAGGAAAAATGTAATAAATATGTAAATTAAAAATAATATTTTTTAAGTTTCAGTGAATTAAAACGTGAAATGTTTGTTGAAATCGAAACAATAGAAGAAACAAACAGTAGTTATAGTAAAGAGAAAGTTCTTTATAGCTCTTCCTTCTTATAATGTTTTACTTTAATAAGAGTTTGCATTAACTTTCATATAAACAATGAAATTATTATTATCTTTTAAGAAAAGCATATTCTTTGGCACAATAGACATATGAAATCATTAAAAGAATAAATATTAAATTTACAAAAAAACATTTGAATGTCAATATTAGGCCATATATTGCCCAACACTTTCCATAACAATAAAATGCGATTATTATTAGCGTTGACCTAAAATTCAATCGTAAATACATAGCAATCAAGTTATGGCTTTCGGAATACAACTTACAAATCATAGCCAATATATTATAAATTTTGATTATGTTATAAAACTATCATTTTATAGTAATTAGGGCTTAAAAGCTGTAAAATTTACATTAAATGAGATTTTAATCGCCAATAAAATGTGATTTAATTGCCAAACTATCAGAGTTTGAAGAAATTATTATTAAAATTAATTAAAACGCCGATTCTTAAACTTCTCAATTAATTTTAACATTAATTTTCTAATATCCCATTAGTTTATAAATACTACATGTTTTGAGTACAGCTTTGCTCTAAATTTATAGTAATATAATAATGAAAAATGTAACTAAAATTCAGTTTAAGACAAAGATATTGAATGTGAAGATGTGATGGACTATCAATGATGGCAAACATTTTGTCTTATGTTTTACTTCTAAAATTTTAAATGCTTTAAAAATGATTATAAAATATGTGTTTTGTGTCAAAGACCTAATCATTATAAGAAAGGATAAGACTTGAGATTATAGTATTGTAATCGTAAAGTGTACAGAATCTGTGAAATGGTTATCACACAATACATAACCACTTAGTTGTCAAATCTCTGAGAAATAGGTTAATGAGAGAAAGTATTACAGCATATACTCTACGGTAGGATTCATTACGTTATGTAAGTCTTATATTGTAATATATTTTGTGTAAATATACTAATAGTCTTTTAACACAACATTTCAAATTATGTATTCAATTATTTTCTACTAGATGAGTTCATCTCACTTACATTTACCACCATCATTATTAAAATATTATTATTATTCATTAAACCATAATTTTAGTTTTTGTTCATTGATTTAGCTCGCGTTCATAAATTTAACAAACAATACAGTACTTAATGCACAGTAAGTTTGCAGTAACTTATATTAACTTATATTAATAATAGATTATAAATTATAACTTATAATTTAACAATATGTTGAATATTCGACACATCTTTGCAATGGATATTTCAGAATTTAATGACATGACAATACTGTATAATTTTAAATATTTTAAACAAATGTTAAATCAAACAATTTTAGCAGTGGTTAAGTTATTAATAATAACTTATTATAAATTATTTTTAACTAACGAGAAATTTGTAAGAAATACCGTAATCTCATTTCAAAGTTTGGTGACAATTATTGTGATAATAATGAACACAATAATCACTTTTGACTTTAATATTCTCGACTCGTTTTATAATTAATTCATTAAATTGTTGTGAAATAATATACTTATTAATAGAGTATAAATACTTGAAATACAATTTAGTTCACAGCCTTAACGACGTGTAAGACATTGTCAATGAAGTCAAATAATTTGTCAAATAATTGCAATGTCTTTGTGACCAAAACATAGATGAGACAAATATAGCTATAATTATATAAACAATTGTTTAAAAATAATTTTCAAACAACAAATTTAAGATTAATTAAACTTGTCATTCAATTAAAGCTATAATTAATTAAACAAACTTTTAATTTTAAATTTCACTCAATTTCTCACTTATTATTATTAATTAATTTTATTTATTATAAACTAATTGTTTTGAAAGGAGAGGAAAGACAATGAATTAGTTGTCTTTTAATTTACAAACCAATTGATAATTAAATTTAATAATAAGTTAATAAATGTAAAAATATTTCATTTGTTATAATGTTTTAATATATTTATAAAATAAACAGAAATTACATAAATATAAACGTAATATCAAGATATCGGGCGACGAATGGCATGTGTTGTGGTCTGTCAACAGGTGTGGACCTAATGCTAATCAATGCTAAACCCGTTTCTTGTCGGTGAGGACGCGGACAATGGCTCCGACGCCTCCCTTGTCGTAGGCCTTCTGGTGCCAAATCAAGAGGTGAGCACTACTGCCATCGGTGGGCGACTCGAAGCCCCGGTAGATATACTTCATGAGGACATCGATCTGATCGGTGGAGAGGGTGTCGACGGCTTTGTCGATATCCGTCACTCTTATACTCATCAGTATTTGTAAGACAAGAGCGAAGGCGTTGTCTTTCATAACACTGTTCTTCGTATTGATTGCACTGTTGTTTAGCATTACTTTCAGTGCCTCTGAATGTTTGCCGGCATTCATAAGAGTCGAGACCTCCTTCTCGTCGACACCATTGGTGGCCAACCCGTCGGCCGACGGCTCGTCCTCTTTGAACACGTCTTCGCCCAATGAGTCGACGTCTATCTTCCGGAACTGACTCGAGTACGTGTTCTTCGACATTGTCTTTGAAGCCAACCAATCGCTGCTTACAAACTAATTATCAAATTATATATCAATTCATTCAACAATTAATCCACAATTGAATTCAATTTTGTTGACAAATGCCTCAAATGTAAGGTAAGCCACGCCTCACACCAAACACCACATACAGTGTAATACAGTGTAGTCTATGTATTGAATGCTTTTCCATGCATTCAAACGCATCAATGTATGTGTCATTTCTCGCATCTAACCTAATGCTAACCATTCATAAGATTACATGCATTTGTCGTACAATTAATATTACGTTACTATGATTTGAGTATTACTATAATAACATTGATTATAGCATTGTTAACAATTATTTACCATATTATTAACAGCACATATTTTGAAGTGATTGTGTTGTACTGGAATCGACACAATCGCAGTTTGGCAATAGTTTTGTCGATCATATCCTAGACATTAAACAACTGAATAGAATTTATGGGAATAACAAATTTTGAATAAAATAAATACAAACAATGTTTCGATAAATTAAAGTGTTTACAAATTTATTAATGAATTCTAAATGAATTATCAATTGATTGACTAAATTATTAGATGAATATTTATATCACAAATATTGATGAACTAAAAAATCTCAGTTTAACTGTGTTTAAAGCAAACAGTAATAAATACTCCAAATATGTATACAATTAAAAGCGTGTAACGAGTGAAGAGTTAGTGTGTTATCTACTCTCAGGCCAATGTCTCTTGTATTCTTCGTGTTCGGCCAAGTCTTCCAAGAGTTCTTTGCGATGAAGTATACCAATGATGAGCACAAGTATACAACAGATTGAGGCCAATGTGATGAGTGTAGAGAACACTATATTACTGGGTGTGTAAAACAATTTGCTGACCCAATTGGTGGTGTCATTGGGTGGGAACGGTATGAGCACAACCTGAGCGTCGGGCACTATTTGAGTCCATTTCTGACTTCGGCTCGCCATCCGTCCCGACGGTATGGCCGCAGTGACCGTCTCTACAAAGTTGGGGGTCTCTCCCAAACCAAACACTGAATATGGCATTTGGAGAGCAGAATGTGCCGATTGGGACAGTTGTCCGGCACAACCCGTTTGCCAATTGCCCTCCAAGTCCTGCAATTCGTAACATACGAAAGATCCCATTTGATTAGTGCCATAAGGAATGTTACCACGAGGACAGTTGGACCCATAACACAGACCACTAGTGACCACAACTTTGAGAAAACACGCGGCGACCATCTGTGTGTTGAGAACCGCTTCCACCTTTCGCTTGTCTTTACTGTCTTTAGTGGTCATCAAGATATCAATCTTTCCGTCTTCGAAGAGGTCCACAAAAGTGGCGATTTCTACGTTAACATCAGGACTGATACTCTTATCACTCGTCCAATCGATTACAAACTTTCGGTTAAATTTATTGTCGCCTTTAATATTCTTCAGCACAACTGCTTTCGTATTCTTATCCTTCATTACAGTTATTAAATCTGAATATCCGTCGCCATCGATGTCTCCATGTCTTAGAGTGACCGGAAGTGTTTGTCCGACAGACAACACCTCATCGAATGTGAGCGCAGAAGAATGATTGCCATTATTGAAGTCAGAGATAACAATCCACTCTTTGGTCTCTATATGATAGGCTAGTATTTGCGGATCTTTGCACATGTGATCAGACGTCAAGTCATTGCTACAAACGGGCAAAATGTGGTCAATTAGTCCATCGGTGTTGATGTCGACAAACGCCGATTGACCCAAATATTTGTACGATTTGTCGTTAGGATACTCATGAAGTATCGTATGATGGCTATCGGGTGAGAAGCCCTTATCGTTGTGCCAGTACTCCATCTTATTGGAGCCACTGATGAAGATGTCTGCCGTATAGTCTTTGCGGTGATCGTTGAGATTGATAAAGGCATTGGAATTTGGGAAACGCATCTCTTGAGCACTTTTAGGCTTCAGCTCTGGAGGACAGTCGCCCTGAAAAGGAGAGGACGGACTGCGAGTCCAGAGTTGACGCTGACATGTGTTCGTCTCGACGATAAAGTCTGCGACCATATCTCCGTTATAGTCCAAAATCATGGGATGATTCTTCACACCAGAGACCAGTGGTTTGGATGTGTTGAGACAATCCAAGAAAGTCACGTTTCCCTTAAACAGCCATATATTGAATAGTCTTTCTTTGGTTTGATTCATCGTAACGACCATCACATCCATCATCGCTCGGCCACTGAAGTCGGCGGGGATTACGCCGACAATTGTCTCGTCGGTGGCGGCGAACGAGCACTTAATTGATGGCCATTTCCTGAGCACCGGTTCCGTGGGATAGCCTTTAAGTATTTCCAACGCCTTTCCGTTTTCGGTGATAACGAAGACATCCGTCAATTTGTCGGAATCAAAGTCACCCAAACTGGCGATCAGTCCATTCATGTCGTCTTCAATCAGTCTCTTCTCTGATCCACAACTCATTGAACGCAAACTTATTGTCAATAAAAACAAAATCACACAAATTCTGGTCATTTTTGGCATTCATTTACTGGAAAAACAAATATTATTTCATAAATCAATACTAGTTTTCAATTGAATGCACAATAAATGGACACAATTTGCGATACAATTAACAAATGGTATTGAAATACATGTCAAACAAAATGAGAGGACATTTGCATTGAATCGTCAATTAATAACACCTTTTGTTATCACTTATCAAACAATTCACTCATTAAACAAACCGTTGCCTCAAATGCTGGCAATCACTCAATCAGTCACTCAATGCTCCCGTATTTGAGTCCACATCCAAACAATGGGCAGAAAATCACTTTTCATTACATTTGAGTCAATATATGAACACAAATGCAAAGCATATGATAATTGAATGAAAAGTAATTGTATTTAAGACATGAAGTGGTGTTGTCTTGCATTAGAGGATGCAATCATGCAATCAATGAGTTGTAAACACATAACACATAATAGTGTATGAAGTGGTCTATCGGTGGCGCTATTGGTGTTGTAGTGATTGATTGAATGATTGTTGTTGTGTTGGATGTGATGACCACATTGTGATCACTTAGTGATGGCAGACATGGATTCAAAGCGATTGCAATACAATTATCAGATCTGGTTCTCGAGGAGAGCGCCGGGAAAAGTGACGGCAAACCAGTCGTACGACCAGAACCTGAAACCGATCGCAGAGTTCGCAACTGTGGACCAGTTTTGGGCCATTTATTCGCATTTGATTCGTCCCAACGATCTCTCGGGTCACTGCGATCTCCATGTCTTCAAACACGGCATTCGTCCCCTTTGGGAGGTTAGCCCTCACTCTCCACCAACTCATGTCTCCAATACTAACCACTTGTCACTTGTGTCCATCCCTTTAGGACGACGCCAACAAAGACGGCGGCAAATGGATTGTGCGGCTGAGGAAAGGTCTGGCCTCCAGGTGTTGGGAGAACCTATTGCTGGCCCTCTTAGGCGAGCAGTTTATGGTGAACAACGAGATCTGCGGAGTTGTGGTGTCGTGTCGTTTCCAGGAAGACATCATAAGTGTGTGGAACCGGACGGCCGGCGACACTATGACAACCGTCAGGATTAGAGACACTTTGAAACGTGTGCTAAATCTGCCGCCAAATACTCTCATGGAATACAAGACTCATTGCGACTCTTTGAAGGACAACACCAGCTTCAGGAACACCTTCTTGAGGTGATTGACTCGACCCACACCTCAAGCCATACCAAACACAACAACCATTTCCAACACTTTTATATTCAATGTTAACGTTTTGACTGTCGATTATGTATTGAAAAGATCCCAATAAACATCAATTGAATGCCATTTTTGCAACCAATCGTGTTTTGCCATATTATTGTCCATTCATTTAATATTCGCATTCAAATCAATAGAAAACAAATTAAATAACAAAATGAAAATCAGATTTTAGTGGATCTCAATCAACAAAAGCTGCTTTTATTAAAAAATTCATTAAAAATATACTATAATTCAATACTAAATTAAAAATATACATTTATTATTGGCAATCATTTTTGAAATGACACTAAAAAATAAAACTTAGGACTCATTTCCAATAAATATTCATAAAACTAAAATCGAAAATATTATAATAAAAGACGGCTTTAAAGAAAGGATGTAATGTCAAAATACATGATAAAAACCACTTATAGCGGACAATTAACTACTGTTTTGATGCTTAATACGAGGCAAAGGAGCGTATTTGGTCACTGAGAAGAATATCCTAAATAATCAAATCAATTAAAATACATTTCAATTTTCTAAACACTATGTAACTCACGAATGAGAATATTTGTTTCTTATGGTCTTTGCTTTGGTTTGCGTTAAGAGTATTTCATTCAAACGATACATTAAAATCGTAAGTTCCGACTCTTTATAACCCGTATAATATTCAAGTGTTTCGGTCTGTGATATCAAATAAGGCATAACTGTTAGAAGCATTCAAATAATAAATGATTGCTATAATGTACCCAATTATGTTCGCCCATCATTCTCAGAGCCAAGAGTAGTGCTGCGGCCGCCACACGAGAGTCCGCTTCCTCTATGATCTCGTACTCTAAGAGAGACATCTCTAACACAAAACGAGCCAACGTTAGCGTTTCCATCGATTGTTTTGCTGTCTTTAAGACAAACCAATAGATAATTAGATAAAGAAAAATATTATTAAAATGTCATTTAATACTCGAGCGAATCGACGCAGAAATCGATATGAGATCGGGAAACATAAGTCAAACTCGAGAGCTCTTAAGATTTTCATTTCCATGAGAATCACATCACGTCTGGTGTAGGCGTCGTCGCAGATGTATATGAAGTCTTCAATGGCCGGAGGAATGCGTTCCTAAACAATACATCATTCGTTAAGAGAGTTAAAACTAAACTCGGAATCAAATAATACATCAAATTTGGCGGCAATGAGAAGAGTTGTGGCGCCGATCAACTGGAACTGCGCTTTAGAGATCGGTTCTCGCATTAAGTATTGATCAATGAGTTTGACCGCCAAATACAGTGTCTCGTGATTGAGCCTATGGTCAACATAAATGAGTCAAACAAAACAAATGGTTAACAATAAGTGATTCAATTACTCGAAGCTCTCCTGAATCTCAACCATCCAATCGATGAGAACGGTTCGCATGGCTTTGTTTAACTCGGGCTGACTTTCCATATACTTCTTTGTTTTGCACTTCAACTCCCTTTCCGTGTAATGTCTGAAGATATCGGAGGCGTAATGCGGTTCAGAGTCTATGTTCTGCAGTTGACTCTTATCGTAGTCGACGACCGTTGAGGGCATGTCTTTGGGCGCCGAGTAATAAGTGGTCGGATCCGCAAAATCTATAGTATCGTTGCCATCAAACGAGTCATCACTCAATTCAGACACTTCTGACTCGGTTTTGATATCCACTTCTTCCTCTGTCTTCGTTTTGGATCCAATACTAATGGCCTTAACTTTGCGCTCAATACTAAGGGTTGGATCTGTTTTCTTGTGACAAGCGGTGTCTTCTTCGACCACATTCTCGTCGTTCAATAAGACTTTATTCTTCTTCTGGAGGGGATTCGTATGAGACAAACCGAGAGTCCGTTTGACCGCTTTGTTGCCATTCAGACCGTTATTGTTGTTCACATTTGATATGTTTGTCAGGACTCGCTTTGACATCATTTCGGCCGAAGAGCTGATCCGATAAATAAGACAATTGTTTAAACAGTGATTTATAATGTAATCAAAAGATTCAATGATTGGAAATGATATCAAAATATGTATAATATGTGAAACAATAAAATGCAAAACTATTATTCAAATGAATGAGTCGTTAATTCAAACAATTCACTCATTGTTTGTAATCACAAGTGATTTCAAATTCAATTACATTTCCAACTATTGTCTGCTTTTCTGTGCGAATAAATGCAATCAAATGTTTGTACCTTTCAATCAAATTATGAATAAATAATTACTTTTAAAACAAAGAGTAAAACACTGTTAAAGAGGAGAACCAAATGAGAAGTGAGTCCACAAACAAGTGACAATACTAATGGCCTTAACTTTGCGCTCAATACTAAGGGTTGGATCTGTTTTCTTGTGACAAGCGGTGTCTTCTTCGACCACATTCTCGTCGTTCAATAAGACTTTATTCTTCTTCTGGAGGGGATTGGTATGAGACAAACCGAGAGTCCGTTTGACCGCTTTGTTGCCATTCAGACCGTTATTATTGTTCACATTTGATATGTTTGTCAGGACTCGCTTTGACATCATTTCGGCCGAAGATCTGATCCGATAAATAAGACAATTGTTTAAACAGTGATTTATAATGTAATCAAAAGATTCAATGATTGGAAATGATATCAAATTATGTATAATATTTGAAACAATAAAATGCAAAACTATTATTCAAATGAATGAGTCGTTAATTCAAACAATTCACTCATTGTTTGTAATCACAAGTGATTTCAAAGTCAATTACATTTACAACTATTGTCTGCTTTTCGCACGCTTATTTACGTTAGTTTACAAACATGGAAAGTTAGTTTAATACTTATTTATTAATGAAAATTTTGTTTCTCATTTTGTGACAATTTCTCCTCTTGGTTTACTCTTCACTCAGGTGTTTGTTCACATGGAAAGACTGAGTGAAAGACACTTACGATGTGTTTAACAGACAATTAAATGCCGTTTCAAATCAAAGTGAGCTTTAATTTCAAACTCATTGGTCGTCAGGTCTGGCGTTCACTCATTGGTCAGTCCAGTGAGTGCTGTGACTGAGGGCTGAGTGAGGGCTGCAGTGAAGGCAATGCCATCTCTGAGCACACATTGTGTGACCCAATGATTGGCATAATATTAGTTAAACAAACTAAACAAATGTTGTTAGAGACGCAACCCTAGTTCACAAATTAACTATTCGTTAATACAGCCGATAGTAATTTTAACGTCTCAAAAACTGAGGTCAAGAATTCCATACCTAGGCAAAGTCTCATAAATTGATACCAATTTTTTAAACGACACTTTTATTTAGGAATCAAAGTTCAAAGAGACTGGAGTTTTGACCCCCGAAGAGGTGTGTATTGATTGCATGGATAGTGAAACGATTGCATGCAATGATTGTAATCCGGTTTTGTTTGTATTGATTTTGTTGGACACAGTTTGTGATCGCTGGCGACCAACTCGTCCATCAGTGCCCCACATGGAAGTGGGCGTCTGGCGAGGAGTCCAGACATCGACAATATCTACCACGAGATAAGCAATTTCTGGTCACCAGAAATGGTAATTGTGTTAAGCGTTGATTGGGTTGATTGCGAATTCAATTGATGATTATTTTTGCCCTTTTTGTGGTCCAATAGTTCCCTGTTTTAAGAGGTGTAAAGATATTGAGTATTTGGAAGAACAGGAGAAGATAATTGAGGACAAGGATGACACAATTTGTTTGATTTGTTTACAACAATCTCTGCGTTGGGATCAAGTGTTTAATTGATAAGCAATTATGTCGGCTATCATTAAAATTGCAGAGTTTTTGACTCCAGTTCTTAAGGTATGGATCCGTTTATCTCATAAATTGATACCAATTTTTTAAACGACACTTTTATTTAGGAATCAAAGTTCAAAGAGACTGGAGTTTTGACCCCCGAAGAGGTGTGTATTGATTGCATGGATAGTGAAATGATTGCATACAATGATTGTAATCCTGTTTTGTTTGTATTGATTTTGTTGGACACAGTTTGTGATCGCTGGCGACCAACTCGTCCATCAGTGCCCCACATGGAAGTGGGCGTCTGGCGAGGAGTCCAGACATCGCCAATATCTGCCACGAGATAAGCAATTTCTGGTCACTAGAAATGGTAATTGTGTTAAGCCAACTAACGCTTAAGTTAACTACTAATAAAAACGGGAAAAACACCAGGTTATCAAGGGACAAAATTCTCCACATTTCTATAACTCATAAACCTTCTTGTCCTCTTCTATTAACTCCTGTTCCTACTGGAGGACGGGGGTTGGGTCGACACTCACCACTTCGCCAATCTTAGCGAACAAGTGCTTGAAATGACACTTTCGGCCAAAGCGGGCGACAAATCGGCGCAGAAGTCAAATGTGGTGTCGAATGATACCGAAGATGACGACGAAGACGATGGCGAAGCAGAAGATATGGATAGCTATTTAGCGTCGGGTCTAATGGACGATAAGGACGAGGTAATGGGTTTACCGATTGGTTGCTTGAATATTGTAAATGAATTAAATGAATGTTTGTTTTTGTTAGGCAACTGTCGACACAACTGAGCCTAAAATGAGTACTTCTGCCAAAAATGAAGACCAGGGAGAGTCAGATATCGTTCCGACGAGAACTTATGATCTGAACATCACTTACGATAAGTATTATCAGACGCCCCGACTCTGGCTCTGCGGTTATGACGAGAACCAGAAACCACTCTCTATTGAGCAGATGTACGAAGACATTAGGTATGAAACCATCTGTTGTTTAACTTATAGCTCGTATAACGACTGGTTGTCTTCAGTCAGGATCACGCAAAGAAGACCGTAACCATGGAAACACACCCACACATTCCCGGCGGTCCCATGGCATCCGTCCACCCGTGCAGGTCTGTCCATGCAATCACTTTTATAAGTTGTCTTTATTTTATGTTAAATATAATTTGCAAATCTATTATACGTTTGTAATTAAAGGCAATTTCAGTTATTCATAACTAACTCGTAAGAGTACATTCACCCGACTTATAGTTAACTTTCTCTTTTAATAACTGTATTGTTTGTAATCTAAAATGGAAATTATAGATTCAGACACTGTATAGTGTACTGTATTGTAATGTAAATACTGTATAAGTTATTGATGAATAAGTCAAATGAATTAAAGAGTGAATGAAATTATTCTTTATAATTCATATGACAATAGTAGCGAAGAATTAACAAAAGAAACGGCAAAAATAGTTTAAATCGATTAGCATTTAACACTTAAGGGAATATTACGGTAAATCTATTGCATTACTTCAGATTTACTCTACTATTCAATTATGGTATAAAATATAGGGTTTCCTACGGCCTTAAGTGTAGGACATCTACTAATATAAAGCACTTAAACTCAGAGCTATTAATCTCTTTTTTTAGTGAACTCTCAAACATTAAGTTAAAAAAATATAATTTTTGTCTATTGTTTCTCTAAAATATTGATTTTTAATTGAATTCAAAAATTCTCATCAATTTATAAAAATGCTTTTGAAACCAGTTTTTTGATCATCTCTGGCGAGAGATGTAAAGCCCATAAATCTAATGATCAATATTTAGACAAAATTTTCTATAAATAAAACGAATTGAAATGATTTTAAAAAAGCAGAATTTGACCTAAAATTGAGAATTAATTTATTTGATTGAGAAATGAATGAAAAATTATATAAAAATGTGTTTTGTTTTTGTCAGACACGCGGAGGTCATGAAGAAGATTATACAGACAGTGGAAGAGGGGGGACGGGATCTACCGGTTCACAGTTATTTGATTGTATTCCTCAAGTTTGTTCAGGCGGTCATTCCCACCATTGAATACGATTACACGCAGAACTTTACCATGTAATCCATGTAATCCATGCAACTAATGCTATCATGTAATCCACTTCTACCCCCGATTTGTTGGCCAAACAAACAAACCGAACGTCAAATTTTCAGAGTTTATTTTAAATGGAAATTCAAATTATGAAAATATTTAATAAATTTCTTTATATTTAATAGTTTTTAAAGAGTTTAATAAATTATTGGCAAATATGTAAAATATTTTCGGATATAAGTTTTTAAATAAATAAATAATAAATCAAACATTTTTACTTTTATAAAAGAAAATATAATTATTTATTTGAATGACTATAAATAATATTTGGATCACGTATTTGTCTATTTGAAGAATCTTAACATTTTTAATGAAATCTAATGTCTCGAAGGTTTTTTTGGTTTCTTTTAAATATAATATTATATTTATATTGAATTAGTTTTTTATATAATGAATATTAACGGGTATTTTAATACTTTCGTTGAACTAATTTGAAAATATTGTCGATTAAAGACTCGGTTATGCGAGTCATCGATAAATGTTTAGATGCGTTGACCTAAACTTGATATCTAAATGTTGCCAATTTTAACATCAATTATTCACTTCACCATCAAATTGGCCAATAATTATCGATAGTAACAATATTATCAAATATCAACTTTTATAATATTATAAAATCGTATAGATAAATAACACAAATATTCTAACATAAGAATACACAATAAATATCGAATATAATTTAACATATCTTAGATCCTTTACCCAAACATGCTTTGACTTCGGCCAATAAATAAACGTATAGTGACACTTCTTTACTGTATATAAAGTGGTTTTGTTTTTATTGCTGTTCAAAAAATTTTAATAAAAATTCTCAAATTAGTGATGGTAGTTTTCAAATTCAATTATATAGCTATAAATTAGTTACCGGTTATAAATAAACTTTACCGTAAATGGATTTTATTGTTGATAATTATTTCATAGTACAGTATTAGTTAAATGTCCAAAAAGCATTAATGTAATTTTATATAAAGATCAACTGGGATTGTGTGAAACAAATGCTTTCAAAAGTAGAATCAGTAAAACTGAATATTTTTTGCAGATTTGTAATTTGAAAATAAGATGTTTTTGAAAATAGAGTATAATTTGAGTGTAGACTTGATTTTGTTGTTTGTTATATAACGGCAATACATGTAATCTTAATATTCATTAATTCTATTGCAAACTACTTATAGGGGGTATGTTTTGAGAATTAGCAGTGCCTTTAGGTTTGCAATAGATATTTGTTTTACAATGAGTTGTGATTATCATAATTGTTAAATATTTTTGACCCAATTCTGTATTTTCTCGCAATTTTTCTATTTATATGATATTAAATAATCATTAGTCTATAACTTTTCCAATGTATATCGCAATCAACGATATTTAATCACTTAATATATTGTGAGACAACAATTCGTTACAATTAAGCGTTCAAATGAATCGGAAACGAGTAGTTATTTGTGATTTAGATATTTTTCNTCATCATTGGTATACTTCATCGCAAAGAACTCTTGGAAGACTTGGCCGAACACGAAGAATACAAGAGACATTGGCCTGAGAGTAGATAACACACTAACTCTTCACTCGTTACACGCTTTTAATTGTATACATATTTGGAGTATTTATTACTGTTTGCTTTAAACACAGTTAAACTGAGATTTTTTTAGTTCATCAATATTTGTGATATAAATATTCATCTAATAATTTAGTCAATCAATTGATAATTCATTTAGAATTCATTAATAAATTTGTAAACACTTTAATTTATCGAAACATTGTTTGTATATATTTTATTCAAAATTTGTTATTCCCATAAATTCTATTCAGTTGTTTAATGTCTGGGATGTGATCGACAAAACTATTGCCAAACTGCGATTGTGTCGATTCCAGTACAATACAATCACTTCAAAATATGTGCCTTTAATAATATGGTAAATAATTGTTATCAATGCTATAATCAATGTTATTATAGTAATACTCAAATCAGAGTAACGTAATATTAATTGTACGACAAATGCATGTAATCTTATGAATGGTTAGCATTAGGTTAGATGCGAGAAATGACACATACATTGATGCGTTTGAATGCATGGAAAGCATTGAATACATGAGTCTATGGCTGTAATGACTGTGTGTTTGGTGTGAGGCGTGGCTTACCTTACATTTGAGGCATTTGTCAACAAAATTGAATTCAATTGTGGATTAATTGTTGAATGAATTGATATATAATTTGATAATTGGTTTGTAAGCAGCGATTGGTTGGCGTGAAAGACAATGTCGAAGAACACGTACTCGAGTCAGTTCCGGAAGATAGACGTCGACTCATTGGGCGAAGACGTGTTCAAAGAGGACGAGCCGTCGGCCGACGGGTTGGCCACCAATGGTATCGACGAG